ACTAAGTTCAAGCTCCTCACACAGGGAGCAAACACACCAAAGTCGAAAACGGAAAGCAAAACACACTGAGATGGGCGACAAGTACAGCCTACTCGTCGCCAAGATCATCCAAGTCGATGTCGGCCATGAATGCGTCATCACCAGCAGCTCCACCAGCACCATCAAGCTCGTCACACGGGCAACCCATACTGCCGTGTCAGGAGCACTTTTGCCCGTGTAGGCCGACACGGCCAGGCCGAGGAATTCCACACGGCCGTGCGAATTGCACATTTGCCCGTGTGGAATTTGCCGAGAGCTCGCACGGCCAAGGAGTAAAATCCGCACGGCCGTGCGAGAAGATGTGTTGCCCGTGTCGGCCACACGGCCAGGCCAGGCCAATCCACACGGCCGTGCAAATTTTCACTTTTGGCCGTGCGAAAATTGCCGAGAGCTTGCACGGCCAGGGGATAAAATCCCCACGGCCGTGCAAGTTTATGGCCTGGCCGTGCGAAGTGCTGGAGCCCCGAATTCAACCTGTTTTCACTCAAAAACGACACTTGACTCTGGATCAACATCTCAAGACTCAAAAACACAAAAAATCAAAGGAAAAAGAGTAAGAAAATGCAAACCTCGGTGGGGTTGCCTCCCCACAAGCGCTTCTTTACCGTCTTTTTGCTGGACGCCAGTATGGATGCTCAGAGAAGTGTAGGATCAGGTGCCTTCAAGAGCGGATCCACATCGCTCTTGAGGTACAGCTTCAAATGGTGGCCATGTACGCGACGAATGTGGCCACCAGCATTCGCCAACTCGACTTGGCCATCCGGCAAGATGCAAGCGAGTGAATACTCGGATGGCCAAGGCGGGGGCGGGACCAGGGCGCTCTTTCGAGCAGGCTTAGCTGCCTGCAGTTTCGGCCGCCACTCCTCCTTGATCTGTTCTTTTGATGAAGGAGTGGTCCGGAGTGCGGCGAAGGTGTGGAAGGCGGGTCCTGTAAAATAGGCAGCACAGAAGGATACACGACAGACTCGTGCTCCTGGTGAGATACAGCATGCAGAGGTAACGAAGCAGGTATAGTGTTAGCAACTGAAAACGTTATTCGCTCCTCGCCATCCCTCAAAACTAAGGTCCCATCATGCACATCTATGAGAGCCTTGACGGTGGCCAGGAAAGGCCTTCCCAGTATAAGAGGCACTTCTGTGTCCTCATTGATGTCCAGGACAACAAAATCCACAGGATATTTGAATTTGCCAACCTTAACCAGAAGGTCTTCCACTATGCCCCTAGGATGCACTACAGATCTGTCAGCTAATTGAAGGGTCATCCTAGTAGCACGGGGTTCACCTAGGCCTAGTTTCTTGAACAATTTATATGGCATAACATTGATACTAGCACCTAAATCCGCCAAGGACCTCTCTACATGCAATTTATCAATAGAGCACGGGATAGTAAAACTACCTGGGTCCTTCTGCTTCTGCGGAAGCTTGTTCTGCAGAATAGCCGAGCACTCCTCGCTGAGCTCCACAGTGGCCAGCTCACTCAGCTTCTGCTTCTTCGAGAGAAGCTCTTTCAGAAACTTCGCATACTTAGGCATTTGAGATAGTGCCTCCAGGAAGGGCACTTGGACATTCAGCTTCTTAAGCATGGCCATGAAGTTTTCGAACTCTGCCTCCAGCCTGTCTTTGTGCAACCGAGTAGGGAAGGGAAGTTTCGGGATATACTCCTTCAGTACCGGTTGCGGCTTAGGTGCAGGCACCTCAACCTCCTTTTCTGCCTCTTCTTCAACCGCTGGAGATGCTAAGATAGGGGTCTCTCTCTCTTGTTCCCGAGCAGGGGGATCAACAGTCATCTTTCCACTCCTGGTCATGTTGGCATTGCAGTGCTCATTCGGGGTCGGCGGATGTGGGATAGTCTGCCCGGGTAGAGTACCAGGAGCCCTTTGAGCCACTGCCTGAGCCACGCTCCCCAGCTGGGTCTGGATATCCTGCAAGACAGCCTGTGTGTTCCTCTGACCAGCTTCAAGAGCCAGGAATTTACCCAAGGCCTTTTCCATGAACTGCTCGATAGTGTTGAACTTCTGAGCACTAGAACTGGCGAGAGAACCCACCAAGTCCCGCAAGTCAGCCATCTGATCATTCTGCACTGGGGCAGCAGGGGCTGCACCTGGCTGCTGGAAAGGTCGCGGCTGTGATTGAGCAGCATGCCCCTGCATGGGTTGATAAAGAGACTGTTGTTGCTGCTGGAATTGCCCCTGTCTGGGCTGATATGGTGGCCTCTGGAAGCCCGGTGGTCCCTGGGGGACTGGTGGTCGGGAATTTGCTCCACCCCAGGAGAAGTTAGGATGCTGGCGCCACCCCTCGTTGTAAGTGTTACTGTAGGGGTCATTGCGCCTAACATTATTGATGAAGTTCACCTGCTCCTGGGGTGTGGTTGATTCCTTCATCGCCTGGCAGTCTTCCACCGTGTGATGGGTGCTTTCGCACCAGTGGCAGAGCATCGCCTGGTGCTGTCCGGTCCTTGGAATCATCCCGGAACGATCGATAGCTGAAACCAGCTTCGATACTACCTGCACCAAATCAGAGGGATGGGCTCCCATAGAATGTACACCTCGGCTGGGTGCTCTCCTCGACCTCCTGGCAGTGCCCCAATCGTAACCTTTCTCCGCCATCTCTTCAAAGAGTTGATTCAGCTGTGGCGGGGTTTTGGTCAGCATGTTCCCGCCACAAACCGAATCGATTAGTTGCTTGTCCTCCGGGAAGAGGGCGTGATAGAATGTGCCCACCTTGAATGCATCGTTAAAACCATGATTGGGACACCTGAGGAAAAGACTGTTGTACCTCTCCCATGCATCCCTGATGGTCTCATCCTCATCCTGAGCAAAATGTGTAATTTGCTTCTGCAGGTCAGCTGTCTTGGATGGAGGATGGTAGCGGGTGAGGAACTTGTCCGCCAGGTTGGCGAACGTGGTTATGGAGCCCGGAGGTCGAGTGTCTAGCCACTCCTTGGCCTGCCCCTCCAGAGTGAATGGGAAGTACCTCAGCTGGATGGCATCTGCTGGTACCCCATTGATCTTGATTCCATCGATGAGCTCGTGGAATCGTCTGAGATGTGATCGGGGGCACTCTCCCTCCTTACCTCGGAACACCACTGAACTGCGCAGCATAGTGATTACTGAGGTGCTCACCTCAAAGTTGTTGGCTGGGACATGAGGGTGTTGAATGGGTGACCTCATGTCCGCAGCCCTAGCGGTCCAGTAGGATCCCATGGTCTGCTCCTCGGGGATCACATCACGGTTCTCTGGATCAGCCATCTCTTCTTCTTCTTCTTCTTCTAACTGCAGCCGTGATAGCTCCTCCTCCGCAGCCAGTCGCGCCTTTAGAGCCCGCTTGAAGTTCCTGCAAGTTCGTTCAAGCTCCTGGTCTAATGGTAGTAGTTCTCCCGACTGGCTACGGGTCATGCACTACCTGCACACAATCAGCAGAAGCAACCCGTGAAGGCACACAGGTGGAGGAGATAAAATGCAGTAAACAAAAAGCTAGAGTAACAAATTCTCACGTTTCCCCAATAACCTAGAGGATTCCCGGCAACGGCGCCAAAAACTTGACACGCCAAAATACAACACCAAACTGCGACCAAGTGAAATCGCAGTCCGGGAATGCAGTAACAGGCAAGTTCTATTAACAACCCGGGGTCTAGATCTACTGCTTACTCCGTGATTATCTATTATCTAGCAAGCTAATTCGAGTGATTTTTGTTTAAAGCAAAAGCAGTAAGAAAGCAGTAAATTGATTCGGTTTTAAAAGTCAGGAAAGAGTCACTCGGGATTGAGTCCCCCTAGCCCCTTGATTAGGTCCAATTGTAATTCCCCTGGGTTGATTCACTGTTGATTAGACTGCGAAAGTTCCGACAGTAGCTTGGAATCTCTTAAGCTGACCAAGCCCTCTCAGTCTAGCTACCCGGCAGACGACTAGTCTTCACCGAGATAGAAAGCTGAGGCTATGAACACAGAACTCCACTGCTGGCGCCAAGAACACCAGTACAAAGCAGTAAAGTGGCTAACTCTCGTATAACCAATCTCCTACTATCGAATGAAGAGGCTCTAACAACCTAATCAGATTCTATCTATCTCAGGTTGCAGCAGAAATCGAGAAAAGCTGATCAGACTCCAATCAATTCAATAAACATGCATCATTCGATTAAAATCAAACAGTAATATCATCCCAAGTCATTACAATCAAATCCCTAACACCATGAACTAGGGTTCTTCATACCCAAGTGAGAGAAGGGTTCTACTCCATAGAGAGAGAAGAGAAAACAGTAATCGGAGTAGTCATACTCATAATGATGAGGAAAATCTGCTCCGGGATGATGATTTCCACTCCTATGACGATCTCCAAGCTCGATTCGATGAAACCCAGCTCCAAGATAGCTTCTAGGATGTGTTCTTCGTACTTTCTCTCTCTAGGGCTCTGTTTTTGCTCTGAAAATCCGATTCTCTCACTTTTGGCTCGAGATTGGCTCAAAAACCAGAATTTCCCGACTCACACACGCAGGCCACACGGCCGTGTGGCTCACCACTTTGCCCGTGCGAGTCGAAACGCAGCGTATGGATTAGTCGACCTTCAGCCATCTCACACGGCCAGGGTTGCACGGCCGTGTGGATTTCATGGGTTGCCCGTGCGTGGCCTCGGCAAAAATCACACCGCCAGGGTGCTCACTGGCACGGCCGTGTGAAGGTTACTTGTGCCCGTGTTTGCTCTCGCACAATCCCACACGGCCTGGCTTGTCACTTGCACGGCCGTGTGATGCCACGGTCTGCCCGTGCGGCTTCCTTGAAACCTCGCCATTCGTCCGATCTTCGTCCAATCGACCCCAAACTCGCTCCCAAGCCTCCATTCACGTACTAGGACTTGAAATATCACAAACAAGCACAACCTAGCGTGAAATCGGCCTAAAACACGAGAATCAACACCTCAAACGGTGTAAGAACTGGGGTAAAAACATGTGTAAATAACGGTCTATCAATCATCATCGTCTAGCCGAACAAACTCAGTTGCAGCTGAATTGTCTCCAGATGCATCTTCCCCTTCAGGAAAATGGCCATAATTGTCTCCCATATAACCTAGCTCTCCGAGATCCCTTGTTGCCTCAAAGTGCACCTTTATATCTCCAGTTCCAACCAAAGGCAGCAACCCAGTTAAAACCTCCACATCCGACACAGTTTCATGCAATCCTGTCGCCATACTTTCCCCAGGTGTCAAGTACCATAGCCTCTCGACGGAAATATATTCCAAATCTTCAATCAAAGTCTTCGTCAATTCGAAGTAGGACAAGACATCACGATTCACATTGACGACATCGACAACCCCCCCCAAACGTACTGTGGAACACCCCCCCCCCCCCGACATATCCATCGCGCCTCCATGATGCAGAGTAAGCTCAACCATGTCGTCCATTCTAGCAAAGGCAAAAAAATGATACGAGATTACTTTAATCTCTATTTCCATTACTTTAATCTCAATTTCCAGCTCTTGACCCGACAAATGCTGGTCACGAGCATTAGTTTACTAGAAAACCCTAATCCTTGGGTTTTATCGAGGATTAAAAAAAGAATGGAAATGGAGAGAAGAAAGGGATTGATTGCTTACGTTGCTGGTGGGGAATGCGATCTGTTGGCTGTGGTCCCTTTGGAATGTGGACCCGTCGCCATCCTTTTCACGAAGTCGTTATCGATGCAAAGAGAGAAGCAGAAATCGCGAGAAATCGCGAGGGAGCAAAAATCGCGAGGGAGCAGAAATCGCGAGGGAGGAGGGGGAAAATCTTCGCGTGGTAGAAGGAAGAAGGGTGAAATCGATGGCGGCGGGCTCAGAAGAATGCCCGTCGCTGCATTTTTTAGTCGGTCAGGTGAGGAGATTCGACGATGAAGGAAGGAGAAGGTGAGGTCGGCGGGTGAATTCTGTGGATGGGGATGGGAGCGATATGGATAAGGTAGGGTTAGGGCAGGGTCCTGCGTTTTGACTACTTTTTTTTCGTCTTCAAAATGAGAAAGGAAATAAAATGGAATAGGTGGAAATTATTTTTTTTTTTAATTTAAAATTGCTGAGTTGGCGGTGACATGGCGCGTTGACTAACAGTCAACGCGTTTGACCGTCCAAGTTAATGGTCAAAAGTCGGATTTGGCCAAATTGTTTATTTTGGTGTATAGTTCGGGCCAGAATGTTATAGATCGAAAAGATTGGTCAGGATGTTTATTTTGGTCAAAGTTCAGGCCATAAGAAAATATTAACCCTTATTTTTTTTACCAAAAAAGCCTCAAACTTTTTCATCACTACGAGACGCAGTGAGGGTGAGATTCAGACAAACATTTCCCTCTCCCTCTCTCTTTACTCCCCGCCAAAATGTTATTTCATTAGTCGAAAGAAGAACTCAAATTACTGTGTTTGTTCATCTTGTTTATATCCTTGATTTTGATTGGTTTTGAGTTAACAACGGAAAATAAAAAGAAATAAAAATCATGTTGTTGCCGGCAAGACATCACTTCTTTTATAACAGAAATGTTGTAACATAAACAATTTTTAGCGGATCTCCTTCCTTTGTTCTCATCTTATGATTCTCGTATTCCAATCTCAAACTGCGAGGGAGGCGTTTGGTACACCAGGAAAAAGTCTAGCTTACCCGCTAATATGAAACATATATAACTTCATAATGTATTGATTAATTCAATTATGCTCTAATCATTTGGTAAACCAATCATATTAGTCATCATCTACCCACTGACATTAGTAGGCTAATGATTCACATAAAACTGTTGTAAGATTCCAATCGATCATATTACACTTATCATCTTCTGACAAGTACCATTAGACCAATGATAAGTTGGTACGTGAATTTCCTCGGCCAATCACTCGAAGATATACTTTGGGAAATGTATGTAAATGTTTTTCATCATAATATCAGGCTTGAAACTGACAAGACTAGCTCACATACCATGCTACTTTTTTGGGTGTCGCATTTGAATCATGTCGCCGTCACCAACGAATCCCATGTTGTCGTCGCCTTTGCATCCTCACCTCCTCCTTCTCGTTGCAGGAGAAGACTTTCATTCGCTACCGCATATCCATCGCAACGTAGGATTCCTCCTACTCAATCTGATTGGCATGCGGAAAGGAATTCAAAAGTAGCAGCATAATCAACTTTGGCTCAATCGAATTGGATCCGAACAGAAGCATCAAAAGGATTTCATAAAAGGGGAATAAGAAAGAATATAGGAGAGAGGAGAGGGACAGAAAAGAGAGGGGGCGTGCTATTTCAGAATACCACCTGCCCCTATTATTTATTATAATGCGATTTTGCGTTATTCGAAGTTATCTCGTTATTCTCAAATAATCCATCCAAACGACCTCATTCAAATGATCCATCCAAACGAACCCTAATTCTGCATTACTCATTCAAATGATCCATCCAAACTAGGGGTGTTCAAATGGTGTGGTTACCATGGTAAATGTTTGAACCGATAGTATTTGGCTAATTTGAATAATCAGTTTGGTTTGGTTAAAAAATGTAGCTTGTTTGGTTTCAGACACTCTTAATCAATCAAACCAAATTAACCAATTAAGTAATTATCCATATATTCTATATCTTATATATATATTATATACACATACTTAATACTTGTCATAACAACTCAAGAGCCGAACGTTCCTTCCTTTTAGGCTTATCAGCAATAAAGCTCAATATCGTTCTATTGTCTATTTGTATTTGTAGAGTATAGACCATGATATACGAACGCCCAATTTAGATAGAACTCATACAATATATTAGATGAAAACTTGAAAGGAAGTTTTTTTCAACCTATGATAATTGCTAAAAGACTAATTCAATCACAATAATTAATTAACTCCATACTATTGACATATATTATTGTTAGGTGAATACTTCTATTGAATGTAAGATAATTGTATTAGTTGCTTGTATTTTTGTAAGGGTTAACCATAACTATGTGTTCAGTATAATGTTTTATTCATCATATAAATTGCGAATTGATGTGTTAACTAAAAACTTTCTCACTTAATGATAATGTGATGTTATATTAGTTAATCTGGTTAACCAATTAACCAAACCGATTAAAATTTAGTTTGGTTAATTTGGTTGTTGTATTAGTTTGGACAGTTTGGTTATGATATTATATTCCATTGTTAATAAAATTTTGGCTTGTTTGATTTTATAATTACCATGGTAACCATTTAAACACTCCTAATCCAAATCACTCTTAATTCTGCAAGTAGTTCATTGCTACTACTACTTTCATATGGCAAGAGATTAAAGATGCTTTTTTTGTTAGCACTCCAAAAATTCAGGAGCTAGGGTTTGACGAAGTGCGACGATTCCCGAGCTCTGAGATGGCTTCCCCCCCCCCCATCTGGGAGATATCCACCACCACCAGGAGGCCTATCCTCCGATCAGGCCGCTGGGAAATAGAGACCTCCGTTGGTGACATCATCGCCAAACAAGACGGTGGACAAAGAAACGCAACAGTTGCGCAAGCGGGCGAAACCCTCGTGTGCAAACTAGCTTTTTGAGGCGGAAGCTATGGCGGAAGATTTCCCTGAGTTGTGTACGACATCACCGGGTACTCGTTCTCCCCGGACAGCGGGTGCTTCTCCCCAACCAGAGACGGTTTGGACGGGTAAGAGGAGCTTGCATGAACTTATGGGGGAGAATGCATGGTACGTAGCCGAGTCTGACTCGGAGGATGTCCATGAGGCTATGAAGGAGGACGATTTAAATGATGAGATATCGGCTGATGATGATCCTCATCGTAAATGGCGTTTTGTATTGATCGTGAAAGTCCTGGGTCGCTCTTTTCCGTTTCCGGTCCTGTCTAAGAGGTTGGAATCGCTCTGGGCGAAGCATGGGACATTGCAGATATCGAGTATGTCATATGGTTTTTATGTGGTTCGTTTTACGAGCCAGTTCGGTTACGAGCAGGCAGCTGCAGGTGGACCATGGATGATCTGGGGTTACTATTTGATGGTTCGTCAGTGGAGGAAGGGGTTTGACGCTAAGTTCGCGGAGGTTTCCTCGACCCTGGTTTGTGCCCGCCTCCCAAGTTTACCTCTGGAGTTCTTTGATCGCGAGGCTGTAGAACGCATTGCATAGAGGATCGGTAGGCCGGTGCGAGTTGATCGCGCGAATCTTACCGGGGAAAGAACGCAGTTCGCCCGTGTCTGTGTTGAGGTTGACTTGACGAAACCTCTACTAGGGAGATATCATATCGAGGGTAACAAATATTTCATTGAATATGAGACTCCACAATATCTGTACTGAATGTGGTCGTTATGGTCATGCTAAGATTACATGTCCTACTTTGTTCCGCCCGGCTACTCTGGAAGCCCTTGCTCAGGCCGCCACGGCAACGACAGAGGTGCGTCCTAAGGAGCTTGAACCTGCTTTTGGAGAATGGATGGTGGCCAAGCCTAAGGGACAAAAGGCGCAACATCCAAACTCTATTACCAAAGGTGGGGCTTTGGGTGGAAAGAGGAAAGATTCATCTGGGGGATCAAGGTTTGATGTGTCGATAATCGAGAATGAAGGAGAGGAAATAGATATGGAGACTCAAGGTGAGAAGGTAAAGGATATAAGTAGTGAGCCGAATAAGGAGCAGGAGGAAGTCGCTGCTCCAAAGGAGGTCTCTGTGTGGGAAGAAATCAACTCGGCATAGAAGTTCCTTTTGACCAGTATGGAAACCTCTACACCTCCTGTGGAACATTGTCCCCTTGCCAACCTCGTAGAGGTTCCGATTGGGATTAGTTCTACCCCTATTCCGCCTCGCGATGACCAAAGAGTAGTAAAAGGAGACACTAGGGAACAAGAAACCCATCACCACCTCGACACCTATAAACAAAGCTCCTCCACCGACCTCTGCAAATGGGAAACCGAGTAGGGGAATGAAGATGGATTCAGGGCAATCTAAAAGGATTTTGTCCCCGTTGAAGAAGGGTGTTCATCAAGTGGAGAAACTCAAATCCACGAGTGGGAAAGCGGGTTTGGGGGAGCAGCATGCTTCCCAGGTTCCATCCCTCTAATTGTTATGCTGTGGCCGAATTGTGTTCCAGGGAAGTTTGGTCTTACTTATTGTTATTATGTTAGACGTCTTTGCTAGGAATTGCCAAGGGGCAGAAAATGACCGTTTTATTCCTTTTTTGTTAGAGTTCTGCGGGTTCCATAAACCCGATATTGTGTGCATTTTTTAGCCCCACATTAGTGGGGTTACTGCAAGATCAGTGATTAACATGATCGACTTTGACGGTTGTATGGTTGTGGATGATGTAGGTCATGAGGGAGGCATCTGGGTGTTTTGGCAGAGGCCGAACGTGATAGTCACTCCGATTACAGAATGGGAGCAGATGATCCTCTTTCGTTGTGCGCGCAGATGAGCCCCAAATTCGGAAGTCTTGATTTCAGCAGTGTATGGTATTCCTAACGCAGCGCGCCGAGGTGATTTGAGGGAGGAAATTTGGCGTATCTATGCTACAAATGCGGTCCCATGGTTGCTGGTGGGCGACTTTAACTCCATTCTTAGCCCTCAAGACAGAATGGCTGGAGTGGACTTCCAAGAAGCGAGAACCCGACCCTTCAGACAGTGTGTAATGGATTGCGGCCTTGTGGATGTAGAATTTATGGGTCCGAGATTCACTTGGAAGCAAGGAAGTCTGTACCAGAGGTTAGACAGGGCACTTTGCAACCGAGCCTGGCTTCTTAAGTTCCCTTCGACTCAAGTCAGACACCTGGAACGAATCGGTTCAGACCATAGGCCGATTCTGGTGAAGGGTTCAGGTGAGCGAATAACTAAAGGAGATCACCTGTTCCAATTCTTGGCGGCCTGGCTGGGCCATGAGGCTTTTCCCGGGGTGCTTTCCTCCTCTTGGAACTCCCCGACCAATCTCCCAGCCA